AACTACTTAAGCTCTTCAAGGCTTTTTTTTGTTAATGGTGTTAGACTTTGGAACTCCCTTCCACTGTCTCTAAAGAACTCACTGCGTGAAAGTAATGTAAAACAATGTATCTTTGAATATTTTTCCAGTTAAGTCGCATAATAAGGTGGTCATAAATTTTTTATTTTATAAATTTTTTTATTTTAATTTTTTTTATAAATTTTTTATTTTTTTATTTTTCTATTTGGCTTTTCTAAGTTAATATTTACATATGCATACATAGCTATATTTATATAATTGTAATTTTTATTTTATTTTAATACATATTTTTGTAATCCGTTATTTGTATTGCGCAATAAAAGTTTAATTCTTAATGCGCTAATCTACTTAAATAAACAAATAAACAAATAAACATCGTCAGTCATGCTTAAACAAACAACTCGTCATCGTCCATAACATAAATAAGCATTGTGATTTCATCTCCGAATAACTTCTTTCCGCAGCGGAAGAGGTGCTTAATTTCAACCAGCCAAACAATATTAATGTGAGCAATTCGAGCACTACATATATAAATATATGTATGTATTAAACAATAATATTTAATGAGTTAAAAGTTATTTTGCAACAGAGCAACCATGATATGGTATTTTGAAAGAGGAAATTATTTGGTGAAAATATTTTTGATCTAAGATTGAAATAAAATATCCTCAATCATAATTACATATTTATAATAATTACACTTATCTTGTTAAGAATCATTTGCGTGACATTTTTAAAAAGCAAATACAATAGGTTCACAAAAAAAAAAGAACAATAGGTTCTCAAAAAAGCAAAAACAGCATTCAAATTTCTCTGACGTATTTAGATCGGTGAGCCCGGGTATGCCCTACTTTTCTCCAGATTGACAGTACTTTCCTTTGCTAAACTATTGATGCTCTTTAAAGTTGAATAGAATAAATAACTTGAAAGTATAAGAAAGGAAACATACATTCATGTTGAAGCTGATTAGAGAATATTGTTCTCCGGTTTCCCAGTCACGTTATAAATATATTTAAGATAACGAAAGTCTTTCGTAAGACAAATGTCAACTCTGGCAACTAGCTTTAAACGTTGTTTCTGCCTAACCGGGAGACCGTAGCGTTACTGTTTGTCTTTTAGAAATAAGTTTTCTCAAAATTAAATGAAAAAACGTATATATATTTCTTTCTTTAAAACAATAAAACAAAAAAGTTAAAGCAAATTAATAATTAATAAACACAATAAAAACAAGTAAATATGTAAGTTCTCAAAAATAAAGTAAAATTAAAAAAGTTTAAAAAATATAAATTAATTTAAGAATATTAGAAAAGAAGAAGAACTTACATAAGTTCCTAAAATTCAAATTTTTACTGAAGATAGCGTTATATTTTTAAGAAAAAAAGAGGGTTCTAAAAATTTAACGAAATTTAAAATAATATTTTTCTTATTAAAACATTTAAATCTAAAAAGTCAAAATAAAGAAAACATTTATTATAAATAAAATAAATGAAATCTAAAAATTAAAATAAATCATAAAAAGGAAAAAATTCCACAGTACGAGGACTCGAAGCTTGGTCCTTTCCAATGGCACGCTAGTGCCGGCCTTTCCAAAGTGGGCGACAAGACGCAAGGTTCTCTTTTTTTAACTGTTCAGAAGAGGCAAGAAATCGTTGTAGTTTCACATTATCTGTCAGTTTGCACCAAAAACTTAATTTGGAAAAGTGGACTTGGCACCTTTTCACCTTTAGGTAGCGATTTAAAAATTACTCCGAAATTTTTTTCCGAACGTATTCAGCCTTTTCTTTAAATGCAACACTACTTATAAGTTCATTAGCACTACATTTTAACATTGAAATAACCGCATTGCGATGTTAAATTAAATTTAATCAAGCCTTAAGCATATTCAAAAGGCTGTTTCGCAATAGCAACATTAATCGAGAGATGGCCAATGCAACGAGCAGTAATTGCTTGCAATATGCCACGGCATTTAGAGAACTTTTTTTTTATATGTATGGTTAGTACATTCATACATACATAGCAGGGTTGTTGCGAATATTCACATTGGGAAGCGCGGCGCTTAAAACGGTCACCCTACAACCCTCTTCTTTTGTAATTTAAAGTCAAAGAGTAAGATTTCTCAATAGGTATTTCCAGATAACCTTTAATTGGGTAAGAGTTATGTAGCTATCGAATATTATTTGTCATAGGTCTGTTGAAAAAACTGCGTGCATCGCTCATCGTCCGTGATTCCAATAATTCAAATTATTACAAAAAATGGGGTGCCTTTTTAACAAAATTAGAAGGTTTTAAACTAATTCAGCTGGCAGCCATGACTTTCAAAAAAAAAATATATGTCTAAAAATCCACATTCGCAACATCCCTATTACATAGTATATGCAGCTCGGTAAAAGAACCTCAACACGTACAAGCACAAGCTTTAAAGTTGATGTATGTATTTAATAAGCTTTGATGTTGCATGTTTGTAATTACTGCCAAGTAAGATATGCAACGTTGCGTTTGCAGCTTGTTCAATGCGTGCATATACATATAAACACATAAATATGTATGCGTATGTATATACATATATTAATTTATTTATATAAGTTGAGTTCCCAACCCTATTAACGTTTGAAACGTGACAACCGTGTCACGATACACGACAACGTGCAGCAAAATGTCACATTAATGACTTCAGAGCATCACTTACTCCCAAAGCGATGTAAAACTTTTATATAATTTTCGCAGTCACATTTATGTATGCATTACACACAAAAACTACATAAGTTTATACACAAATGCATGGGACTTGGTTATTTATGAATTAAAAATTAATGTGTTCAACTTCAGCAAAGTTTGGATAGCTAAATAATCAAGTTTTGTAAATAATTGCAACTAAATAAGTAATCAAAATTTGAATATACATATGTACATACATATGTAATATAATTTTAGGCGAATCTCTGACAAATGCAACGTTCAATTATCAAGAACCGTTCGTTCACTATAAGATCCGCACACTCCCTAAGAAAGAAATACAACAACCACATAGAAGGAAAATTTCAGAACTAGAACGATGAATCTGCCAAATAAGAAGAAGAAGAGCACCTACGATTCTCTATGTACGGAAGAGCAGTAAGTTTACCACGACTTATTCCTTTGATTCGGTTTTATATGTTTTTAAAGCGCTATTAGGGTCCCGAATTTTAGCAGCTAAATGGATATTTCTAAAACCCCTAAGATCTCTGTTCTAACAGCTTAAAAACTCATTATTCATGACAATAATAGATAAAGTAATATTTAATACACAGATTACATTTTTTGAGTGAAAATTCTAACGGATTATCTATTCGCACTTTGACAGTGTCAGTAGCTAAACCATTGCCGCAGTGATATTGGCAACACCGCTGATATTGGATATTTAAATAGCCAATATTGGTCATTTAAGTGCAGTTTAAATGTTTGCTCTAAAAATGAATTTCTAAGTTAATTTAATCAACCATCTCTACTCAAACAGGCCATCTGAAATTGGGCCTTAGCATTTTTTTGGGGTTAGCGGGAAAATCGATTTTAGTTTCTGTTTTTTTTTTTATAAATTTCATGATATAATTAGGGAGTTCACAAGGTGTTGTATACCGTCGTATTATTGCATGTCATAAACTTTAAATGGCTGAAACTATATGTTAGAGATTCACAAGCTTCCATAAAAGACGTATTATATTTTCTTGGTTGTTTAAGTTTGATATTATAATTTTACAGTTAACTGCCCTAATTTCGCAATGTGTGGGAATATTCAACTAAGTGGTTTACTCGATTCCCAACACGTCTACTAACAGGTTTCAAGGATTTTTTCCAGAGAAAAACTACTCTAGAAATTATCAAAGGAAGTCGGTACCATCTGAATATAATTTTTAAGTAAGATTTAAATACGCATTTTACCAGCTCAGAAACCGTTAGTACCAATTTTAAGAATATGCAAGGGTGGCTCCAAATCATATCCTCATAATTTTACCTAGCCCTTACATTTCAGTGATATTATAAATTTTTATTGTTTTTCTGGGGAGTATGAGAAGCTTGCGGTGCCGTGAGGTGAAGGGTGATCGGAACAAAAATACCCACTCTGTACACTTTAAAGTTTAAACTAATAACAAGACAAATTTCATATCCCTACAAAATTTGCAGGAAAAGGTAATAAACGTATCTCGATTTTTCTAAAATCTTCTATTTGAACCACTTCCACTAAGAAGAATTATGAATGTTGGTAAAAATTGGCGAACTGCCACGCCCTTTACACTAGGGGGCATATATGGTAAATATTATCTAAATCCAATGTAAATCAGTTGGTAACTTAGATTAAGCTAGGAAGACATACATCTGAAATATAGAGAAAATCGCCCCACCGCCCCGCCCACCAGCTATCCGAGTTTTGTATTCTAATATGGCAAGAACTAGCAAGGGCTATTTTTGCATAAAAACCCATAAATTAGAAAAATGTGTGAATTGGAGGATCATTACTAGTCCCTGCCACATTAGAATTCAGAATTCGGATGGCCGGTGGGCGTGGCAAGTTACCGATTTTCCCATCTTTCAGATTTATGTCTTCCTAGGTAAATCTAAGTTACAAATAGAATTTAATTGAAATCGGATAAAATTGAACATATTCGACGCCTAGTGTAGTGCGCGTCGAAGTCCGCTAAATTCAACCAATTTTCATATTTATTCATTCCTAGGCAAAAAAAAGTCCACGTTACAATTTTCAATCGCTGGACATTTACTACCTTTTTCATATTTTATATGGAGCTCTTCCACTGTGCGACGCCCGGTGACGTAGATAAATTTTGTGCTAGGGTTCAACCCCAAATCGGAGTGAGTGGAATTGTATTAACTCTATTCCATTAGAACGATACATACAAAAATTATTTCGAAAAAGTTATAAATTATTATAAAGGCTGCAGCTATATGTATGACTGGATTAACTATGTATTTGAAAATCAGTTTCCACTTACTTGTAGTCTTCAGTTTCATAGGTGTGTAGTGGACAAGCAGAGTAGCATTTATGTTCGTGCATAACTAAATGGTGTTCGCAGCTGGTGCAATAGTCGGGTCGATCTTGACACGAAGCGCAATTAGCCTCACATGGCACACAAGTTTTGTTGTCATAGTCTATGAAAAGATGTAAATATAAAGGAAAACGATCATTATTCGGACACAAGCATTATACTTTCAAAATGCATCAGACAAATTTAAAAATTGGAAATGTGTATTTGGTTTTCATACTTCTTTGTATGGCAATACTTACTTTCATAGTAGCCATCTGGGCAAACTTGTAAACACACAGCCAAATCGACGACATGCAGATGCGCAGGTGCACAAGTGAGACAACTGTCTTGTCCGGCGCCCGCACAGGTTTCACAAGATTCATGGCAGGGCCAGCATACACCACCTTGATTGGGGAAGGAGCGCGGTGGGCAGCGGCTAACACAGGTGCTGCAAAAATATTTTATTATAAAGTTAAACTGATTTTTTTTTCTTTTCACTCAGTTTCCACTCACTTGTCCAGGCGGTAGTGCTTGCAGGCCACACACTGAGTCGGACCACGGCCATAGCAACCCTGCGAATCGCATTCTGGATCACAGTCGTGCAGCACAAGCTTATTATTCGAGTCGGCCATCACATTTTGCCGTTGTGGTGTTGGAATATTGTGACCGTCTACAGTAGCCACAGCTTGTTCAGGATTCGAACCGGCACCGGTAAAAAGATTCTGATAATTCAGATAGCCGGCAAATTGATCGGCATTATAGTAACCACCATCATTTGTGGGCTGACCCAAATCCGACTCAGTTGGATAGGTGTAGGGATTAACGCCCGCCGAAACGCGCATCTGCTGTTGCATCAAATCGCTCTTTAAGCGCATCGGTTGCACTGCAGTGCCATAGAAAATGAGCTGCCACTTGGATAGTATGCCTGGTTGATTGACACGCCGTCGTCCGCCATTAATAACTTGCAATGTCCAGCGGCCCTCCGCTTTCTCGCCCCAAAAGTGCACGCTCAAGAAAGGCCAATCATCAAAGTTGGACTTGACAATGTCCCGCGGTCGCTCGAACAATAGCGTACTCGTAGTACCCATGGGCGAAGTGAGTAAGATGCGCAGATTGCCGCGTGGGAAAAACCTCAACGTTATGCGACACTGCACATGCTCCAGATAGCGCACTTCGTTAATGGTGCCAGCACAGCCATTCACATCCATATGAGTGGCCAGCGTGTATCCGTAAGTGCCTTCAATCTTGCGATCCTCATTGTTTTCGCGCGACTTGCAAATGTGCTGTGGCGGCACGGTGGTCCACTGTTCGGCCAAGCTTACCATAGCGCCAGCATCCATAAGACCATAACCAAACTTGTGGCTGTACTTTCGCTTGACACCGTTCAAAATCCAGCCGCTTTCCTTTTCCAAAGGACCCGGACGCGATGTGTACACTACGAGGTATTGCATATCACGCCAGGTAAGATTGGGATTTGCTTCCAGAGCAAGTGCACATATACCGGCGGCAAGTGGCGCTGAAGCCGAGGTACCGGTGTGTTCGACGGTGCAAATGTGATCAGGGCGTAGGCGGCCATCCATGTCGACGGTAGCGACACTCTTATCGTGGCCGGGCGTGCCAGAGCTGTAGGTGGTGGCGAGTGTGGAGGAGCATTCCTCTAGGTACCAAGGTTTGAAGCTGGAAAGGGGAGGAGATAGTGCAAAATATGGTTCATTTTAAATTAGAAAAAAATAATAACCACTTTAGTTTTTAATAGTATTCATACAACAATTCAGATAATAAATTTGCAATAAATATTATTTATGCACATATATTGCGGTAGTTGTGCTCAATTATGTTGAAAGTGGAAATACTGTTAAGCTCTTAATTGGCAATTAATATGGATGACTGCGACATTACTGACAAAACCATTTTTTTTTTTAATAATTAACGCTCCAACAGGGTGTTGCTTATACACTTAAAGTTTGCTCTAATTGGGAATTTGTTGGACGCTAGGCATGTCATGAAATCCTATGTTGCAAATGTCCTTATTGTTTATCGAAATTTCCATCATAAATTTAATGAACATTTTCGAAATGTGATTACAAGCTCGAGTCCTTTCCGCGTTACCTTTACGCATTCTGTTTAGGAATATTTTAAACGTGACGTCTTATATGTATTGTTTCATTTAAATAATTGTCGGTCTCAAAGGTACTCTAATTCCGACCACAAGCCAAAGACAGAAAAATCGCTGAATATTAATTATAATACAATAAATATTATTTGCGATTCAAAAGTAATTTCCAATAAGAACTCATGTGGATATCGGAATACTGTGGTATTTTAGGCAAAGAACTGGCCTAAACATATCAAACAGCATTAGAGCAAAAACAACATTTGCGTGTATTTTGTTGTTGCTTCTGGTATCGAAAGTGTCAAAAACTGTTCTGAGTTTTTGTAATACAAAAAAATAAAAAATTTAAATTGGAAAAAGTAAAAATTGTTGCAACTTTCTTTCTAAGTAAATTTGTTTGCTTCTCGAAGCATTGATCCATCGTTTGCAAGGCCCAGTAATCGGGGGTTGTGCTGCCGAGTTGGCCGAACGTTCCAAATGCTGCTATTTAATAACTTGTTTGGTATGGAAAAAGATTTAACATGTAAATAGATTTTAACAATTTAGAATTTTTGTGAGAATAAATTAAAAATATTTGACATTTTTGAGACTAAATAATTTGAAAAAAAAAAATCAAATCATCTGCTCTACTGCCCTTGTTCGCCAAATAATCAGCTAGTTCCAAGGCACATTGAACAGCCTGTCACTTTTTTAATAAAATATATGTTTTTATGGCAATAGAATTTCCTATTCCTTTACGTAATCTCCTAGTCCAGCATTTTTTTAATTTTTTTATTCCTTCCAACAAATAGGGGTTTCAGAGTAGAGTCCGAACGATTAATCGGCATTGGCTAGTATCGGCCAAAAGAATCCGCATCGGCATCGGATTCGGCCGTTTTTGGACGATTTTAAGCCGACTCTTTTTACTTTTTCCGCAATTTTAACAAATCTTCATCAAAATTTGAAACTGTTTAATCAGATTTTTTAGAATTCGTTCGAGTATGCAGTTTTTTAAATTTTAGTATAGTAAAGTACAAGTTTGAGGTAGCTAGGTAAGTACCTAGCATTTTCTTCCAAACAAAGTATGTTCGATTTTTTTTTATGGAGGAAATCCGCAACACTTTCCACAAAAAAAAAAATCCAAAAATCGATAGTATTTAATTTGCACTTCGTTAAAAGAGAATTGAACGGGCTACAAAACTCCATACTCATAATGTTTAAAGAAAAAGTTTGAAATTTTTACTAACATGGGTTTCGGTAGATAACGAGCAACACTTTCATAAAAAAAATTAGGAACATTAAATAAACGAAAGGGAAATAGCCAAAGAATGCTAAAATGTCGTTACTGTAGGTATTGTTACAATTATCCTTGAATTAATCGCTTAATGATAAATTGTTTACGTTAAAAAATATTTTTATCATTAAAAATATACGGTTACTGTTTACTAACAAATTATATTCAATACAACACCTTTATAGTCAACAGACTACTATGAGTACAATTAAAAAATATGATTTCGAATGAACTCTTTTTTTAACATTGAATAAGAAAAAGCTATGGAACAAAGTATTGCGATGATATGTATGCATAGGCCATATACTACTTTTAATACATATTTATGTACGTACATAAATAAGTAAATAGATTCTTCAAAAATTATTTGTTTTGTAATTTTATTTGTTTATGTTTTCCTTTGGTTATTATGGAAGTTTATCAAACACAGTTCTTCTTGAATGAATTTATATACAGTTAGTTTTTTTTAAGGAATCGGCATCAGCATCGGCCGATTAATCGGCATCGACATGGGCCAAAGATTGGGAATCCGTTGGACTCTATGTGTTTGTTTCAGTGATGACCTCCTCATTCGACGGAAATCGCTTACCGCTCTGCCATTTCTTTGAGCTTAGAAAATAGTCGCCGGCGGCTAAATTTGGTGACATTTTGGATATTTGCTATGGTGACTACACACGTGGACCAAGTGCAGAAGGACCTGTCTGCGCTCGGGATAACCAACAGGCGCAAATTCGCGTAGGAGAGAAGCAATAGGAGAAGCTTTTTGGTCTCGGCCCAAACCGACAAACGGTTGTAGTGCCAAATAATAAGAAGAAGACTACACAAGTGTTTTTTTATTCTGATCGTTTTTCTCTTTGCAAGGTAATCAATCTTAATGACACCGCGTGCATCCCAAAAACTGTGGTAATTAGCTTATTGGCCGACAGACCCACTTTGACCGTTTTTGGTGCACTTCTTGATTGTTTTTTGATGTCTGGCGAGTTGTGGTGGTTTCATGTTTCGTCGGCGTTTACGAAGCGGTGCCAAAACTCGTTCGAATTGCAGCTGAATATCGCCAAACACTCGTTAGAACTGATCACACGGTTGCATTTACAGTCGAATGTCAGGAAGTATGCATGCAAAATGTGATATACCCATTCAGTTGAGATGCTTACAGCCTCAGCTGCCTGGACGTTTGAAGTAGAGTTGCGCACTTTAGTTTTTTTGAGTTTACTGTTCAGTTGTAGTTCGTTCACCTTATTGAACTAGTTCTTTAGTTCATATATTTCATTTAGTTCAATTGACAGATAAATTTACGTCATTTTAAATTTAAAGTTAAATTATTTTTGGTGTGATATTTACTGCGTCATTTCTTCAAAATAATTTGGGAATACGTACATACCACTAGTATGAAACAAGTATCTTAAGCATAACATAATTTAAATCAAATATTTACAAGTTAATTATATTATTTAATTGTACAAGTTCCCCTTATGGAAAGGCGCTGTAACCGGATTTTTACCGAATCCGGAAAAATGAAATTAAATTCTTATCAAATTTCGAGTAAATTTCGAGAATTACGATTTTTTGCCATTTTTTCACAATTTTCGCAATTAACTCCAAATTAAGGAGGCCTACGAGTCAAACGGACTTCAGATTCAGATGGTCAGTAGGTGGATCTGGTTAAATGCATAGATCATTTTTTTTATTTTTTGTGTGCCGGTGTAATTGCCCTTCCCCGAACTAACTCGTTCGCACAGAACCCACTTAATAAGAAGATCGCCTGATTGTATTGTGAGTTCAAATCGAAAAGTGGGAACGAGGCCTAAGAAAGTGGCAATCGGGGCTTGAAAGAATAAAATGTAATCTAAGTGGATTTATTTCGCATTGTTTTAGTTTATTGTATTTTATTTATCTTTATGTTATACTGGTATTTTAATCGCTCTTAACGAATGTATGGAATTATTCACAATTGCATTTGTATTAATACGCTTATTATTATTATTATTATTATACATATGCATTTATATACACCTTCTCACTTATACGCATAGTGGCACCAAGTACTCTCTTGTTGCAGTTTTCATAATAAAATACCATAATATTACTCATTAATTGCCAATTAAAAGTGATACACACTAAAACAACGGCATAAATTATCTGCAAGCGAACGCCTAAAAGTGGGCCATTTAAAATCCAAAAAAAAGTTTTTACCTCGAAACCACTGATTTCCAATGCATACATAGAGTACATTTAAAAATATATTTACTCGTGTGTATGTGAGTTAATGATAGTAAATTTGAGTATTGCAAATATTAAATAAACATTCAAATTAGTTTTATTAAAAAACAAGCGACGTATGTATAAATAATGATTGGATATATGCGACACCTCAACGCATTCGAATGCAGTGCAATCAAATGGAAATTTTGAAATCTCATTTAAATCATTCGTAGCAGCAGCAACTAGTTAATACATATTGATACACACAATTCACTGGCGCAAAAATTCGAATGCATTTTCATACAATAAATTGCCTGCAATCGAATGAAATTAAATGAGAATTTAGCATAACCAAAAACCAAAAACCAAAAAAAAAAAAATAGCAATATATTCCTTTAACATTGCACTCAACATTTAACGCCCCACTTCTTCGCTACAGATAAATAGCAATTTTGATATTGCCCATAATTGATTTTTCTGGAATTGCGTAAAAGCAACAACAATAGCAAGTCTAGCTAACAGCAGAGTATTTATTTGCAATATTTTTGTCTAAAAGTAAATAAATTGCTTAATTGAAAAGTGTGGCGTAGTAAATATTTTATTATTAACTGTGGTTGAACCACCACATAATGCCCACAACTGAAAAACGCTAGTATGTATGTAGCTAAAAATATAACAGTATTTAGGTGGTTGGCGGTTGCAATCAGTCAAGCCAATGATGTACGGTGAAGTGAGTGCGTGACATGCAATGAGCAGAGTAATTTTGAGTAATTAAAGTTTATGGTTGATTTAAATGTACAATATTTGCTTATTATAATAGCAATTAATGTGTGTTTTATGCTCGTGGTTTTAAACTAAATCATTAAATAATATGCATGCATGCACGAGCATTTAAAAGTTCAAAAGATTGGCACAAAATTTGTTTTAACAGTTGGTGTGGAAACATAATTCATGTACCTAAGTACTGAGGTCATGAGTATGTATTTGGTTTTAGAAGTATGTATTGTAAAAATTTAGGCTATAGAGTTCGGTTCGTCGAAAAGTCTAGAAATAATTATAAATCATTCAAACATCTAAGAGTAAGAAAAAAATCCTTCAAATTCTCGCTCTCAAGTAGAGAAACTTGCAAATTTTTGCATAAACGCAAATTTGAAGGAATTTGCAAGTTTCGCTACTAGCTGGTGTCTACGGTTGCATTTCAAACACACACAATTTTTACAGAAATGTAACAACTATTTCGGGTGGATTAAAAACTGGACCCATATACAGTATGTATGTATGTTTCGTCGGCTGATTGGAACATCGCCTTTGTCTTGGCAGCCGGTTCGAAAACGGCCCATCTCAGCAAAACTGTTGAAAATTGGCCTATTTCAGAATTTGGTTGTATAACGCCCCATCTCTGCAAATGTTTAAAAAACGCCCTACCTCAGCTGCCTATATATTGAAATTATATTGAGGATGGTACCGTGATGTCCACGTAAGTAGGAAAAGCTTTTGGCTGACATTCACCTGGCAGTGGCCATATGTGATTATTTTTCGTACGGTTCAAATCGCAGCTCACTCTGTCCAGGTATTTATATCCACGTATCCTCTGGGTAGCGACCAAACACCCGCTTGGGAGCGAGCTAAAGTGAGAAGGCGTAAAACCTCGCCTGCGCTGTGTTTGGGAACCGCAACGTTAAAAAGAAAAACATGCCTCGGATGAGACCTCTACTTGTGATGATGACCACGACAAACGTGGATGTTCTCGGGAAGACAAAAGCTGACATCACCGCCATCTAAGAAATGTGTGGAGCCTTGCGACGTTACGAAAACCAGCGCAAATTTGTTCATTTTTGAATTTGAATTTTGAAAATCCGACATCGACTCATAATCAGCAAGCTCAGAAACCCACTGGAAATGAGTTTCAACCTTTGGCAATGCTTAAAACGTTCAGTATCAACGTTTTAATTATAGTCATTTTTTTTTAATTTGATCGTCATATAGGATCCGCCATTTTGAATTTAAAAAAATTGACTTCAGGTTCGTAATCGGCGACCCTAAAAACTCTCGAGTGCCGGGTTTCGAATAGATCCAATCCGCCATTTTGAATTTTGAAAAACTGACTTCAGATTCCTAATTAGCAACTCCAGAAATCCGTTTTCATAAAGAACTAACCAGCGCAACCTATAAAAAAAACTTTTTTTTTTCAAAATAATAAAATACGTGTTTCTTTTATTATCACAGATAACTATATTCTGATGTAGCGTTTGTGAATTTCCAAAAAGAGTGCTTTTATGAACCACTCTAATATATATGAATGGAAAGCCAATCATTATAGTAGCACTCAACTCACCCAGTGATGCCTTGTATACTTACATATGTACATGTGTATGTACTTATGTATGTCTGTTTACAACTAAACTTACCCTCCTTGTGTTGCACTCGAAATGGACAATGTGAAAATTGAATTCGTATAGCCATCACAATTGCATGAATCTGTATAACGTCCACCATTGCCCGATGCCCAAACAAATATTGAGCCTTTGCCTTGTCGCCCGCTTGTCACGCCATAGATGAAAGCGCGACGCGCCAACGGCCCAGGACCATCCACTGTCGAGCCATCGTCCTCGGGTCCCCAAGAGGCACTGTAGATGTCAATGTGTGATGGATTTAAACTCAATGCTTGCGCTTCTACAACATCATTCACTTTGCCATCCAACATGCGGACGCCTGGAAAGATAAAGTGTGTGAAAAAATGGAGAAAGATAATAAAATAAAGAATATCTTCGTAAGTAAGCTTGATTTATGTACATACATACATACATATATTTACAGCACAAAGCAGAACAAAGGGAAATTGGTATGAGGGTAAGGAAGATGGAATACAAATAGAAAAACCTGCAACCGGAAAAGGAACTGTACGCTCTGCGTACAATTAATGGTTAGGAAGGAGGAGGCGAACTCTGGGGTGTCATAGTGTCGTGGCGGCAATAACACAACGCAAACAAATTTATACAAATCTCTACGACCACGAATAACTCAATTATTTTGTAATGTTACACCTTATTAAATTTATTTACTAAGGGAGGACTAATAAATCATTTCGGTCAGTGAATGGCATTCTACATTTATGCCTCTCTGTACCCATCAAAAAAAAAGCTAACGCTCCAGTCGCTACCAAACTCCTGAGTAAAAATGCTTTCTTCTTCTTTTTTTAAGATTTTCATTCAAATAATAATTAAAATTCTTAGGATTTTTTTCAACATTTTGATGACAGAAATTAAGCTCAGGTAAAAAATATTGTATACAAATTCATTGTGGGTAATAAACCAATATATCCAACGTCTATTTTGCAGAGCAAACTTACACAAGTTTCAGTGGTGGCTAAAAAGAAACAATCAGTGATAACGAGGGCCGAAGAAAATAATCAAGAAAAAACCATTTTAAGCGCATAGATAAGCACTAAAACATTGGTAAATATGCTTGCACATATGCTCGAAAAACAACAAAATTTAAGTACAGTTTAATGTTTTGTTTTTCATTAAGTTTATTTCAAGGTCTGAAAAATTACAATGGACAATCAAGTGTTGCGTGATATTCTCAACCAATAGAGATCTGCATAGGTCGTACCAATTTTTATAAATATTCGTTATTCTCTATTTGAGATAAATTCTTTTTAATCTCTTGAATAACAACAATACCTTCCCGCAGAGACAAAACTTTGGTTTTAATTTTTTGGATCCAAGCCAAAATGCAATTGAATTGAATAAAAACCAAATCTGTTTTAATGTTTTTATTTGCAAACATTTCTTTAGTTCAGCGAATAAAAAAACGTCCAAGAAATGGTCAAGAAAAATCTATTGAGCCAAATTTTCCCAAGCAGTACGAAGTTCTTAAGAAATTTTCTTCGCTGCTACTGTGGTTTGCTTAAGTTTGTTTGTGAAGAGTACAAGGCACCAACAGAAATATGTGCCCGTTCCATTATTTCGTAAGGAAAAAGGGAGACAGCAGGCTGTAAAACAACAGATGTCGAAGCTCCTTGGAAATAAGCAAAGTAAGCAAGCCATAATTCCTAATTCCATGTTTCTCCATACAATTTTATAATATATCTATGTATGTGTGTACATAAGTAATTTATTTACTTACCTCCAATGCTAGCATTGTAAGCGACACCCACACCGCAGTAGTTGTTAAAAGCCACTGCAGCCACTTCACCTGCACACCTGGTGCCATGTTTGTTGTCACCATTATCTTGCGGCGTTGGATCCGAATCGTTGCCGTTTATATCGAAGGAAGCATCTGGATCCTAAAAAAGAGATAAATTAAGATGTAATTTAGCCTAGATTTTTCCTCAAATATTTTTTAAGAATTATTTATGTACAATATACATATATGTATACCATCTTAAAATTAGGAAAAAATGCCAGCAGCGAAAATTTACCAATTTTACCCGGTGCCTGTTGTATCACCCACGTTGAATTATCTAATTATTTATAAAAAAAAAAATTTTCTTGACTTCGCGGACCAAAAAATTTTTTATCTCAAATTTCTTAAGCAATTTTGGGGGTTTCTGATATGGATTCAGAAAGAATTTTATGTTTACTTTTTTCACAAAACATATCTATTCTTACCAAGAAAATGATAAAGAAGTTTTCGAAACCTTTTGGGTTTTAAAATAATAAAATAAGAAGTAAAAAATACTAGTTCGGGCGAAGCCGAACATTAAACACCCGGAGCACGTATTACATATAGTTTTTTCACCTTGCCAAAAACTACCGTTACTTGGTAAGCAGGGGTGGTTTTACTCCTATTTCAAACATCCTCGATAGTATGCTCAGTTAGACTTAATGAGATAAAGTTATATAGTCATAAGTGGGCAGTACCACGCCAATTTTCCAAAATTCAATAATAATGTTATATCTTTTCAACGGATTCTTATAAGTACCAACTTTCAGTAAATTAGCGTCCCGAAATTTTGAAATATCGAAGTATCGTTATATGAAAACTGGGCGTAACTTATAACAAAAATTTGTTATAAACGTATTTCTTGCTAAAGTTTTATTGCAAACATCAGTTCTGAATAAATTAGATTCAGTAGTCACTGATGTATCGAAGATTTCGTATTTCTCTAAACTACCGTTACATGGAAAAGGCGTAGCTATGTATATTTCCATTTTAAAAAATTGCAGCCGTTCGGTATGTTTTACCAGAAGCAAAAACTGTGTCAAGTTTGGAATGAATTGGTGCAGCGGTTGCTGAGATATACACATGTAATCATAAGTGGGCGTGGCTACGCCCATTTTCCAAAAATTTATAATATTTTTATTTTCCACCTAAAGATAATTGTTAATATCATTTTGAGCGAGTTTTCTTATTTCTGAAAACTACCGTTATATGCGATGTAAGCGTTGTTATTGTCCGATTTTGCCCATTTTCAATACCAGCCGTCCTTGGCCCAAAAGAAATACACGTACCCGGTTCGTTTAAATATCTCAAGTTTTATTCGAATTATCGTGTGCAGGGACGGACGGGCAGATAGTCACGGCTTAATAGATTTTTTTTTTAATCTGAGCATTTATGTATCCTTTGTCTATATCTAATTCGATTCCCTTAAGGCTGAATTAATCGTGCCATACCATAGTCATAACCATAGCAACTAAATATTTCGATAAAACGTACGCGCAGTTCTGAAAACGATTATTGGTGCCATACTATAACACCAGAGCCATAACCATAACCGAAGGTATCTATTTTATTACAGTTTTTCGCCATAATCATAAACAGCTGTGAAGAATTTTGCTACATTATGGCTAAGGTGTAATGGTTATGGCACCTCTAATTTGATATTTAAGCTATTAAAACAACCGTTATGTGAACAAAGTTATAATACCCTTGTGCACAAGTGCGCTTGGGTGTAAAATGGCAACAAAGAAAATAGGATCGTGGGGTCGGCGCGACCTCTGGCAGGCAAGTTTTAGCTACGAGTTTGTATAAATTCTATTCGAGAACTAGGCCATTCTCCAGCAAAACGAATTCTTTGTTATCCAATGTATTTTCCCTTCGTTATGAATTCAAAATACAGCCCATTATCGAATTGAAATTTTAATGAGAGAGAGTGAGCTGGATTTCACTTTCTGTCTTGTTACTATGGTTTTCATTTTTTTTTCGAATCCATATCGAGTTGGTTTCCAATATAAGGCCAGTATGCAGCTCTCAAGAAATGCAAAAACCCGATATAAAATGACGTACAAGAAATGGCTAAGAAATTTTCTTGAGTAAAATTTCCTTAAGGCAGTGCGCAGTTCTTAAGTAATTTGCTACGCTATCTACTACGGTTTTCTAAAGTTTTTTTGTGAAAAAAAGGGCACAAGGCAACCCATGTTTGCAACAGAAATATGTGCCCGTTCCATTATTTCTTGAGCAAAGAGTGAGGTAACAGGCTGTGAAGTATCAAAAATGTCAAAATTCCTTGGACACACACACGAAATAATGGCAATTTTTTTCTTGACGGTTCTCTTGAGAGCTACATACTGGCCTATAAATATTATGAACGTTGAAAAATAAGGTTTGTTATTAGTTCGTTATCAGTTGTATATGCATACCACAATGTATATTGGGTAACTTGTATAGTTTTTAATTAATAATTAAACAACATCAACTCTGGATGGTATCGTGGGGGTCGCGTGGCCCCTCACACATGCATACTTGCGTTATGGTAAGTGATGTAGTGGTGAGCATTCGTCACCCGCCGCCAGTCGCGACATAATGAGAATACTTAAAGTGGCGGTTTTGTACGGCCCGAACCTGTTTAGAACACCGGAAAAACGTCCTGTGTGGCGGCCTTACGGCCCCACGATACCAGTTAAGGGTTAAGTGTAAAGCATTCATGCGGTTGGTTTCTAAATAAATAACTGAGGTAATTGAGATATCGCAGAGAAACTAAGTACATATTTTTCCCTTGATATAAGTTAAAATTTATAGTGAAAATGAGTTAAATCAGCCAAGAAACAAGTGTACTTATCGGATATCGGTGCTTTTGAAAAAATTCAAAAACGGCATTATTAATTTTTAAAACGACTTTTGTTTTCTAAATGAAAGAGAACCTTTGAGCCCGATTTTTTAATTTTTATTTTTTTATATTTAATTAAAAAAAAATTGATTCTCATGTTCTTTTAAATAAATGTTGCCTAATAAAACTAAACTAGTTGAAAACAATAGAGTTCCGCTAAAACGAAAATAAATTTTACAAGAAGTACGTGAAGTATTTATGACAAAAATTTTGAAATTTGTACTTATGATATCAAAGCTTAATCTGCTATAAAACTGCTTATCTCAAAATTTTCTAACATTTTAAGCAACAGTTTTTTTTGGAACAGCAAATTCCAGTTCTAGATCACTGTGCGGCGGTTATTTACTCCAGCGGTTCTGATCATTGATACAAGGCATTCTCTTTAAAAATATTAATATTTTGTTTATATTAAAATATTAATTTGAAATACAATAGGGTAGATGAACATGATAAAATAATGAATTTGTATGGAATTTATAATTTCATCACGTTAGATGAATGCCCCTTATATGAAAAAGTGTTGATTTTAGAGTTATAACAAATCAAGCTTCTCATGTTTTTTTTTTTTTAATTTAATGTTTGCCATAGAAACGACAATTATTTCACTTTAGAATTTGTTTGACTCAAGTAATTATTTTGTTGAATTTAACATTGATCTAAA